GGTCCAAGATTATCTTCTGTGTCTGTGTTAATTGGATTCCCTTTTCTTTGTTGAAGAGGGTCTGTGCAGTCCTTCTGCCTAGTCCGCCATCTTGCCGGAACTGTATAATTAGAACTTTTATTTCCTCTATTTGCTTTGTTGCTGGTGTCATCTGCAGATTGACTCCCTTTTTCCACTCTGTACATTATTTTATGATCTTATTTTGAGCATCTATTTCTGGTTTTGTTTCTATGTGGTGATGTCAAGTGTCCTGATTTTAATTTGTTTTTCATTGATGTGGGTTCTCTATTAGAAGGACTCCCTTTAGTATCTCTTGTAGGGCTGGGATGGTTTTCACAAATTCCCTTAATTTCTGTTTGTCTGAGAATGTCTTGGTTTCACCCTCATATTTGAGGGACAATTTGGCTGGGTATATAATTCTTGGAGCTCTGGTGGCATAGTGACTAAGGTGTTTGACTGCTAACTAAAAGGTTGGAGGTTCAAACCCACCAGGCACTCCTCGGAAGAAAGACTGGGCAATCTACTTCCATAGTGACACTGCTTCAGAAACCTAAGGAGGGGTTGCTATGAGTTGGAATCTACTCAATGGCAGTGAGTTAGGTGATTTTTGTTTGTTTGTTTGTTTAATATAATTTTTGGTTGGGAATTCTTTTCCTTCAATGTGTTATATATGCCATCCTATTGCTTTCTTGCCTGCATGGTTTCTGCTGAGAAATCAATACTTAGTTTTATTGGTTGTCCATTGTAGATGATGTTTCATTTTTCCCAAGCTTCTTCCAAGATTCTTTCTTTGTCTTTAGTTTTGGAGAGTTTGATTATGATATGTCTTGGTGACTTTCTCTTGGGGTCTAGCCTGTATGGGGTTCATTGAGCTTTTTGGACAGATATCTTTCTACCTTCATGATATGGGGCAAATTTTCTGTTAGCAAGTTTTCCACAGTTTTTTCAGTGGTTTTTTTTTTTTTTTTTTTTTGCCTCCTCTTGTTCAGGTCAGGTGCTCTGGTGGCATGGTGCCTAAGATATTTGACTGCAAGCCAGAGGGTTGGCGGTTCAAAGCCCCCAGCCACTCCACAGATGGAAGACTGCAGAATCTACTTCCATAAAGATTTACCACCTCAGAAAGCCAAAGAGGTTCATTGTGTGTCAGAATCAACTCAATGGCAATCAATGAATTTGGTTTTGATTTTGTTTCTTGTTCTGGTATTCCAATGAGGCATATGCTGTTTCTTTTCATGTCATCCCATATAACGCTTAGGCTCTCTTCATTTCTCTTAAATCTTTGTTCTGAATTTTTTTCACACAGGCTGGTATGAAGGGATTTGTATTCTAGTTGGGAAATGTATTCTTCAGCCAGTTCTAGTCTACTCTTTTGTCCTTCCACTGTGTTATCTAACTGTAATTTTAGTGTTCATCTTCTGGATTTCTAATTGCTATTTTTTCTATGAGTTCTAATTATGTATTTATCTTGTTATTTTGTTCTTGAATGGTTTTCCTGAATTCTTCTGTTTTCTCATTGATTGTGTTTGTGGTTTCCTTGAGCTCTTGGAAAGTTCTCTCTCTATATATACCTTCTGAATTCCTGCTCAGATAGTTCTATTGCTTATTCTTCTTCCACGATAGATAATTCTTTAGCCTGGGCTTTTATTTCTATTGTCTTTGTCTTGGTTTTGTTTTGTTTTATTTGAGGTTGTCTGTTGTTTCCCAGACATTTTGAAGTTCTTGTCTTTAATTCTTAGTTATGTATTCATTTGTTTCACCCTGATTTTATGTTTTACTCTATCTGAAAGTGTGAAACAGGTATACTTCTTTGATTATTAACTCAGTTTTACTGGGTTGCTCTCCAGGTCTACGTAGGTGGAATCACTGTTGGGGATGTAGGTGCAGGTCTCTGTTCATCATGAAGGGGATGTGGGGTTGGGATGAGCAAGTATTGTGCACTGTTTGTTGTTGATTTTGTAGCACAGGAGTTACTTGTATTCCCTATTGAGTGAAGTGTTCAGTGTAATAACTCCTGTTGCTTGGCAGCAGTTTAATGCATTCTTCTGTTAGATGAGGTAAGGGAGAAGAGGGAAAAAGGGAAAGAAAAAAGGTGCTAGTAGAGCATCCCCATTTTCTGCATTTGGGAAGATAGTTCAGAAAGTGCTGCCAGGACAGACAGTATAATTCGTGTCTTCCTGAGATGGCTACTAATGATGACATCCTACTGTCAATGAAAGACCCATGGTTCAAAATCGACAGAGACCCCAATGTGTAGAGGGCCACTACTTTCTGCTTGGATAGTGAAGCTGTAAAACCCATTACCCCTGTCCACTCTAAAAAAGGGTCATGATAGAATTGAATCCTAGTCCATTGCTCTGAACTTGCTCTGGGGCTCCACTTACTTGGCTTACTTGGAGGGAGTTTCTTTCTTTCACCACTCCTTTCTGGACTTCATGGAAGGCCAAGCCTAGGGGTGCCTTGATCTGTTTTCCCATAATATCATCTACTCACTCAGCTCCCAAGGTTGCCACCAAACACTCTTGCTGTGGGTATTCTGAGTCCCCAGTGCCTCTGTGGGTTCCGTGATTTCTTTTTCCTCCTTTCCTCTGCCAACCTCTTAGGTATTTCTAATGAGTCCTCTGTTTCTCTTTCTCTCTGTCTCCACTGGCTAGGTAGGTTTGTTTATTTTTCCCAGTTGTTTAATCTGCTTTCTTTCTCTGCCTTCATTAAATCAGATATTTTACCTTCTCCTTAGTTGCTTATAATTCCAGCATCTATCTGCTTAACCTAGTTATTTAAGGATTATGCTGCTTGAGGAAACAAACGTGTGGGTTATAGATACAGCGGCATCTTCCCACTGCCTCTTCACAACTTTTTGACATTTGAAATTTTAATAATAGTAATGAAAAAATCATCAGAAGGGATATTAGAATAAAAGCAAACAGATTGAGTCTAAACAGAGTAGGCCTTTTGTTTTAAACTAAATGACAGGTTCTGGGAATAAATGATTAATTTATTCACAGGTATGAAAAAATTCCAAATAATACTAAATGCTTACTAGATTAAAAAAAAAAAAAACATTTCTGGTGCTTCTTAAATTGCACATGTTATTTTGGTTTCCATCCATGTTTTTCCTCTAAATGTATACTGCCCTCTGTGGGTAAACACAATTACTTCTGTTGCAAAATTTCTCATTATTTCCTATGCACTAATGATGTAAATAAACACATTTAATTTCTGAGCACTGAATGTAAAGTTTCAATTTCTTGTGGACACCTGCTTCCACTTCCCAAAGACCTTAAGCTCAACTTTACAAAGGGCATAGCCAAGCTTTATTATAACCGATGACAGACTGTTTTCAAAGTCTGACACTCTAATTACCTCTTTTAAACAATGTATCATTTATTATGTTTGGAGCTTTTAATAAAAGGGCTTGCAAGTAGGATAACAACTGATTAAAATTATCATAAAATATTTTCACTACCTTAATTGATAAAGTAACATAATTTGTATTATTCTATAGAAAGATTAACTGATAAATATATGTGTATATACACATACATGTATATATGTATACCAAAAAAAAAAACACCACACCTCACATGCTGATGTATGTAAGGGGAGGGATGATATAGAAGGAGTCTGTGACCATCATGATAACATTAGGAAAAAGGAAGACATCAAATTGTGCACATAAGGTATAAATGACAGACACTAATACTAACCAATATATCCACAACACTGCATTACTATTAACACCAAACACCAAGCTACAGATAAACACATAAACATCTGAGAAGATCAGTGAACAGGATTATACTCTAGACCAAGGATAGATCAGCAGAGGCTAATCTTGCACAGATACCAGTGATACAAAATATGTGTAATTCTTATAGAAACAACATAAGACAGACATAGAGTAATCCCTCGCAGACACCCAGACACTGTGGGAGAGAGATCCAATGGATCTACTGTCTCAGGACCATAGTACTGGGGGACACCAGACTCAATTGGCACAACATAATACATAAAAATCTTGGTCCTCATCCTACATTGGTGAGTAGCGACAGGGTTCTTAAAAGCTGTCAAGAGGCCATCTAAGATGCAGCTAATGATCTCCTATTATCAGAAGTGAAAAAAGAATGCAAAAATCCAACGACATTTGGAAGCAATCAACCCTAGGACATGATGGACCTTGAGACTGGAAGAACTAGATGGCACTCAGCTACCAGTGCCAACTACTTGGGAAAGAATCAAAACTGGAGATCCTGTATGGAGTGGGAGGAAAAACGTGGAACGAAATCCAAAAACACAATAAGGACCAGAATTACTGGTTGGATAGAGTCTGGTGAGACCCCCATTACTATAGCCCTGGGATATATTTTGGGCCTGGAATAAAACTTACTCCAAGGGGCTGGCACTCAGCCCAATAATAAACAAGATATACATGCAGACCACTCAACCCAAGGTGATGTACCCACATACTCTATGGAAATGCATCCCTTGGAGCAATCGACCACGGGGCACCAGAGGGGCAACATTCACATGGAGGAAATGCAGGACACACAGGAGTGCATAACTATGAGGGGCATGGGGTGGGGGTGTTACTGGCAGGGAGGGGAGAAGACTGGTTTAGGGTTGGGGAACGTAAATGGGGAGTGAAACTAAATGTACATGAAATGTTGAATGTAAAACAAACTCTGCTCTGTAAACTTGCACCTAAAGCACAATTAAAAAAAAATATATTAAAAAAAAAAAACCTCACTGCCATCGAGTTGATTATGAGTCATAGCCACCCCCTTTGGGTTTCCGGGGAAGTAAATCTTTATAGAAGTAGATTGTCCATTCTTCCTTTTGTAGAGTGGCTGGTGGGTTTGAACTGCCAACCTTCTGGTTAGCAGTCAAATGCCTCAGCCACTATGCCACCAGAGCTCCTTACACACACACACACACACACACACATATATACACAACATACAGATACACATACTAAACATGTATTAGAATAAAATTTAACTTACTTTGCCTTGTAAATGAATATTACTGCGGATTATATCTCGAACTTCATCCTCGGTGTCTTTCTATCAAGAAATAAATGTTACTTAAAGTCTTATGACACACTATTGGTCATAAATCAATAAAAATAATGTGAACATTTTTTGAATAGTGTATGTTTGAACAAACCTCTTTATGTGATCCGAATGCTTCCCACACATTTTAAGGATTCTCTTTTAGATACTCTCTTGATACTACCATGACTTGGAGCAACCAATTATAATGCCATAGTAAGTGCATTAAGACTCAATGGAAATGAGTTTCTAATATATAACTCATAACAAGAAGAGTGGCAGAAACATAGTTCCCTTGGGATGGGACAAATCTATCTCTAGTCTTCTCCCAATTTTCTACAAAGTTATCTTAACACCTAGTAATATGTCCCATGATCCAGTAATAGCAAGGAATATACATCTGTGCACCCAATCTGAGACAACTGTCAACATGGCTATGCACAACACTCTGCACACTCTTCCCTCAATTAGCTTAGCTCTGGCATCAAACTCTGGATAGACAAGGGTTTCTTCAGTGATTCTCTGTAAGTGTGGGAGAAAGAAAAGTGCTCTCCAATTTCCTAAATAAAAAAAAAGCTATTTTGGTGCATATTTTTGAAAGACTTCATGCTCACCTCTATAAACAATTAAGAGGGCAAAGAGAGGACAATAATAAAAAAAAAATCTTAAGAACTTAAATGTTGATGCTTGGAAAGGAGAAGAGCTGTCCATTTAAAAATCAACATCTTATCTATCCCGCAGTCAGCACAGTGCATTATGCTTCCAACAGTGAAAGATCATCCTTCATAAATATGAATATATTTCTCATCACAAATCTTATATAGGAGTTCAAATGAAATCTATTTTTTTTTCACTACCAGTGATTTGTTTGTGCCTTTTGTTTGGATCCTGAATATCCCCTGGAAGTGATTAACATAGAACTTAGAAATAAAAGTGGCATCTGAAAAAGATAGGTAGGCTTTGTACCAGAGTCCTGGAGCCTGTGCAGAAACACTGCTTAATAAAACATTTAGTGCAAATGAAATATTGATATAGAGTACTGAGAAGAAAGAGTTCAAACTCTTTGGAGTCTGGAGGTTGAATGAGTATTACCACTGGCATGAAAATGAAACTTACCAGACTAAATCGATTCTTGGCCAAAGCAATGAGCTCCTGGTCCCCGGGGGCACAGATGTTCAATCCAATGGGCAGCAGTCGCTTCAGAGCTGCTACGATAAGAGAAGTCTGCATAGAATATCGGTCTCCTTTACGTTTCATTTTCTTCCTTTCCTGATCAGAAACAGCTGCCTATGGAACAAACATAAGCGTTGGGTTCTGTGCCAGCTTTTCTCAAATTCAGAACTTGCTACCTATGAAGATTAACTTAATTGTGGTTCTGTCTTCTTCATTTTTTGTTGGTTTCCCTCTTTAAAAAAAATCATACTCTTCTAGGAATAGTTTTCTCTTCCTTTAGTGCTTTCAGTCGTATTCTTAGATTTCCTAGTCATTACAATTCACTAACATCCATTTCTGTGGAACTTTTAGAAGGAAAATGTACACTGTATTTTTACAGTAGCAAAAGGAAGTATGAGAAATTGTGTGTTTTATAGTGTTAAGTGCTTAAGGGGAAATATTAGGAATACAGGATTTACTTTTGTATTGACAAATGCCTGATCAGATCCAACTCATAGCGACCCCTCCGTAGGTTTCCGAGGCAGTATCACTACGGAAGCAGATTGCCCAACTTTCCTTCTGAGGAGTGGCTGGTGGATTTGAACCGCCAGCCTTCTGGTTAGCAGTCAAGTGCCTTAGGCATTATGCTACCAGAGCTCCTGTTATATATTATATATATGTATATATAACTTATATGCATATATATGTATATATACTTTTGTATATATAGGAGCCCTGGTACCATAGTGCCTAAGGCACTTGACTGCTAATCGGAAGGCTGGTGGTTCAAATCCACCAGCCACTCCTCGGAAGAAAGATGGGGCAATCTACTTCCGTAGTGATACTGCCTTGGAAACCCAAGGAGGGGTTGCTATGAGTCGGGTCTGACTTGATGGCAAATAACAACAACAACAACAAAAAAACTTTTGTATAACATATATATTTATTTATACCAAAAAATCAAACCAAACCCACTGCCATAGAGTTGATTCCAACTCATAGTGATCCCCACTCGGTTTCTGAGGATGTAAATCTTTATGGAAGTAGATTGCCCAGTCTTCCTTCTGTGCAGAGTGGCTGGTGAGTTTGAACTGCCAGCCTTCTGGTTTATCCTCATAAAATATGCTCTCCTTTTAAACAACATAAAGGGTTGCTATGAGTCAGAATCAACGCAATGGCAATAGCTTTTTTTTTTTTTTAAGCTTTTTTTGGTTATAGTCTTGTCTCTCCAGTGCCTCAATCTCTCTCCAGTAAATTAGAATTAATAAATTAATAATGTTTCTTATATATACAGGATTATCTAGATGACATCCTTATAACTGAGTAAGTCATGCTACTTCAGTGCTGTCTGAGATTTTATCAAGGATTATTCTGGTGCTAAGAGTTATCTCAAATGAAAGAATAGAATATTCACTGGGTAATGAAGATTGCTCTAGCTATTTAGATGTCAGGCTTAATGTCAAAATTACAATAACTACAATAATTCTCCTATGCGTATTTCTTTGTACATGTTTAATTTTTAGCGATAATTTAAACATGGAACTATGTCCAAGATAATGGCATTAAAATTACTACTTCAATAGTCTTGAGCTAGTAAGAAAAAGACAGCAGAGAAATTTCACATGCAAGTTTATTTTTCAAAAAAAAAAAAGGCCGTAATATATCACTACATGATGTTTAAAGAAATTTTTTATCACAGTGAAGGTAGTGAGACAATTGAGTAACACAGTAAATATTAGCTTACTTAAAACAAACCTGTAATACTCTGGGCTGTAGCTATCAGTCATGCTTAACTTCCAAAGAGATGTACTTTTGCATGGATTACATTTTTATATGTTCCAGTTTGCAAGAGATCATTCTCAGTAAGTTTAGCAGAAGAAAAAAAAAAAAAAACCCAATAAATAATTATTTATACAAATAAATTGATTATCCCTCCAAAAATAATAGATCTGTAGTTTTAAATTAAGTCCTTACTTAAGAAAAGTAACTACAATGACAAAAATAATGAATCAAATGATGAACTATCATCCTATAACTTAAACAAACTGGTGTAAGTTATGTACACATTACGCAATGTACTACAGTCCAAATTATACTGTTTTTGGAGGTTTTTTTAAAAATTTAATTTATAAATTTCTTTTGGTTTTATGGCTACATAAGCAAAAGGAGTTTATACTAGGTTTGACATTTATAAATGTTTAAGTGACCTCATAATAAAATATAATTTAAATCCTCACTAATAGGAACTGTAAACTGCTGACTTTTGATAAACACAAGAGTATTCCAGCTGTACTTCTTCCTATATATCCTCAAACAATAATCATGATTTTTTTACCACAGAAAATCTGTAACTGAAAAAATAGGTTACAAGATGTTTGACCATTTATGGGTGATTGAGTTTACCAGTAGTCTGAAGAAACGTAATGTATAAGCAATCAAATATACTGTTTACTTATAAGTTGATGTTTGTTTGTTTGTGTTTAATGTTTATTTTCTCTCCCAGACCAAGAGTACCACTAGGGCAGAGTCCAAACAAAAAAAGACATTTGTATACTAATCAAAAGTTCAGTGGTTCGAACCCACTAGGAAGATGAGGCCTTGGAAACCCAGTGGGGGTTGCTATGAGTCAGAGTTGACTTGATGACAATGTATTTGGTTTGGTTTGGTACTCAGAATCAAGCATTATGTCTGGCCCAGAAGAGGTGCTCAATAATTTAAACAGAACTACTAAAACTATCAAATTGCCATAATATGTGATTTTCAATATATCCTCTAACATTTGATCCATATATGTAGTAGCATAGCTAACATGGGACAAAGAGAAAAGAGAGCTAAATTGACCACTCACCTCAATCAATCAATCTTTCTCTTTCTCTTTCTTACACACACACACACGTTATTGTTTTTAGGTGCCATCAAGGAGGTTAAGACCCATAATGATCCTATGTACAACAGATCAAAACACTGCCCGGACCTGCACCATCATCACAATCATTACCATGCTTAAGTCCATCATTACAGCCCCTGTGTCAATCAGTCTTGTTGAGGGTCTTCCCCTTTTTTGCTGACTTTATCTGGTCCCTCCTGATAACATGACCAAAGTACAAGAGATGAAGTCTGGCCATTCTCACTTCTAAGGAGTATTCCAGTTGTACTTCTTCCAAGATAGATCTGTTCATTCTTCTAGCAGTCCATGGTATATTGAATATTCTTGCCAACACTACAAGTCAAAGGCATCTATCCTTCTATAATCTTCTTCATTCACTGTCCAGCTTTCACATGAATATAAAAAAGACCATGGCTTAGGTCAGGTGCACCTTACACTTCAAGTTGACATCTTTGTTCTTAAACATTTAAACACCTTTGCAGCAGATTTGCTCAGGGCAATATATCATTTGATTTCTTAACTGCTTCTTCCCTAGGCATTGACAGTAAATCTAAGCAAAATGAAATCCTTGACAACTTCATTCTTTTCTCCATTTATCATGATGTTGCTTATTGGTCCAGTTGTGAGGATTTTGTTTTCTTTATGTTGAGGCATAATACATACTGAAGGCTGTTGTCTTTGATCTTCATCAGTAAGTGCTTCAAATCATCTTCATTTTCAGCAAGCAAGGCTGTGTCATCTGTATATTATGTTAGTAAGTCTTCCTCTAATCCTGGTGGCAAATTTGGCTTCATATAGTCAGTTTCTCAGATTATTTGCTCACCCTACAGATTGAAAACGTATGGTGAAAGGATATAGCCCTGGCACACACCATTCCTTATTTTAAACCAGGCAGTGTTCCTTTGTTCTGTTTGAATAACTGCCTCTTGGTCTCTGTATAAGTTCTGTATGAACACAATTAATTGTTCTGGAATTCTCATTTTCACAATGTTATCCATAAGTCTTTATAATTCACACAGTCAAATGCCTTTGCATAGTCAATATAACACTGGTAAATATCTTTCTGGTATTCTTTGCTTTTAGCTAAGATCCATTTGACATCAGCAATAATATGCCTCATTCCACGTCCTCTTCTGAATCCAGCTAGAATTTCTGGCAGTTCCCTATCAATGTACTGTTGCAATCATTTTTAAATTACTTTTAGTAAAATTTTACTTGCATGTGATATTGACATTATTGTTCAGCAATTTCCACATTCCGTTTGACGATCTTTCTTTGGGATGGGCACAAATATGGATCTCTTCCAGTCAGCTGGCCAGGTCTTCCAAATGTCTTAGTATAAACAAGTGAGTGCCTCCAGTACTGCATCCATTTGTTGAAACATCTCAATGGGTATTCCATAATTCCTGGAACATTGTTTTTTGCCAGGTCCTTCAGTGTAGCTTGGACATCTTCCTTAGTACAGTTGGTTCTTGATCATATGCTATTTCCTGAAATGGCTGAATATTCACCAATTATTTTTGGTACAGTGACTCCATGCATTCCTTCCACCTTCTTTTGATGATTCCTGAATCATTCAATATTTTGCCCATAAAATCCTTCAATATTGCAACTCAAGGCTTGAGTTTGTGTTCATATGTGCATTTCGTCTCAATTTCTGTTAAAAATGGAGTTATTTTTTCCTTCACAAAGCTATGGTGGGTGATCTATTTGTTGTTATGCTGCCTCCATCAAAGGATGTAAATTTGTTACAGGAATCTCTAAAGCTTTCTGAATCTCTCAGGATTATAGTGAAGACACCTCTTTGTCCATTCTAACTTCATATATCATGCTCCCGGCCATCTTGCTGCTATTAATTCTTGGCAGTACAGCCAAACAGCACAGCTTGTGGAGATAAAAATTACTCAATCCCTAACTACATCCCACTTTGGGTCCTTGGTGCCATCCATGGTTCAGCAGAGTACCTCAATGATACTGATGCATCTGCAGTTAAAATGCTTTATGGACACCATGATGCTCAAATGTGCACCAATGCTGAAACATATAGATATCATGATTTCTGTAGTAAAATAGCATGAAATATTAGTGTATTTTGACTCTCTTGTTTGAACTAGAAATATTATTGATTGGAAAAATGTTCATTGTATTTATGTGATACAAAATTGCAGGCAAAAGCAAAAGAGAAATTAAAAGCAAAATAAAGAAGCTAAATATAATTAGTAATTTCTAAATTTTTAAATCAGTATCACTATTATTTGATATCTGTCTTTTCTCTAGGTGCTAGTAATCATGCAACAACAAATTGGGCATTTGAGAAAATTTCGGAAGTAATGTTAAAATTGAGATGCTTGCATCCTTTACGTTCCATTTTTTTCCCCTAAAAATATTAGTCAATGTTTATTGATGCCTCAGTTGTTTACAGGCTGTGCAGTACTTTGACAGTTTGCTTTGCGAACTATTGGACCAGAATAGTGAAGAAGAGGGAAGTGATGTTAATATGAGGGATATGCAAATCTCTGCTTTAAAGACCTTTAATTTGCGTCAACTTTGATGATACACTGGACCTGTGGTAATTCTCCCCATGGAAACATTGACCTTCTTAATTATTCTCTTTATGACTCTATATCAACATTGGCATAAATTGACAACATACTGCCTAAGCACAAAAAAATCAGTAATAGTTTTCAGTTCAAAACATTCATGAAATGTATGCTCTTAATATTGCACCTCCTGAAGGAGCATGTCCTATCTCTTCAGGCTTATTGTCAACACAAAGTAGAGTAAAGTCATCATCTCCTATGTATGTTTCCTATGTATAGTCACTATCATGAGCTATTATAGACTGTATCAGTTGGACAAATGTTCTAGATCAACTTTCAGCTGGCATTTGCTTCTACTTTATGTTTTGTAGAGTCAAATACATGATATTTAATAATCTAAATAGCATACAGCCTATCAATCAATATTATTTTATTGCGTTAGTGTTGATGAAGCAGGCCAGATGAGAAAGTCATTCATAGGCTTTAGGGGAGAAGGTATACTTCCCACAGTAACTCTTCTTATTTACTGAGTTGCTAGAAACTGATTTCCTTGGAGACAGTATCACTTTTTTTTTTTTTTTTTGCATTTTTGGCAATTTGGCAGCATATCTTTGTTATGGATTGAACTGTGTCCTACAAGAAGATATGCTGAAATCCTAATCCATGGTTCCTATGAATGGGACCTTGTTTGGAAATAGAGTCATTAAAGATATTATCATTTAACATGAGGTCATACAGGAGTAAAGTGGGCCCTAGTCAATCTGAGTGGTGTCCTTACAAAAGAGTGGAAGGGAAACAGACAGAGGGAAGACGGTCATGTAAAGATGAAGGCAGAGTTGAAGCTATGTTGTATCCATAAGCCAAGGAAGGATTGGGCTATCAGAAGCTGGGAAAGACAAGAAAGGATCTTCCCATAGAGTCTTCACAGAGAATATCTGCCCTGCTGACATGCTGAATTTAGACCACCAGCCTCCAGAACAGTAAGACATATTTCTGTCTTATAAGCTACCTAGTTTGTGATATTGTTGCTATGGCAGCCCTAGAAAACTAATATACTACCTCATATGATATACCTGTTTTATTTAATTTAGTGATTATTCCAAAGATAAAGGCATAAATTTTGAAAAGAAGCTTCTGTTTTTCCTATCACCTAAGTGAGACTAAAAACAAAAATATGGAGCTATACTTCCCACCTTATGTGTGAAAACCTGATATTTATCAATGTAGTATTTAAATAATGAAACTAATTCTTCTGAGGTCTATATATTTAACATAAAAAAGTACACTCTAGATGAATTTATAAAATTTACTAGTTATACAAAAAATGACTAGAAATTTTGTGAATGTGTGTGTATATGTATAAGGAGGTCTGGTGGCATAGGTCCTAAGGCATTTTGACTGTTAACCAGCAGGTTGGCAGTTCAAACTCACCTGCCATTCTGTGGACAGAAGACTGGGCAATCTACTTCTGTAAATTTTTACCATGTCAGAAACCCAATATAGGAAATAAATAATGTTACCAAATTATCAGATTCCAGTAATAAAAATCCAAAACATCCCAAAATATCAACCAATAAAAGTTAAATTCAGACATTTTCTACAAAAGTGAAACAGATTATAGTAATACCTTTGACATCTTTGACTTGGTATCAGTAATAAGGAAAGACATATTGTTGATTTCATTCTGCACCACGAAGTTCTGCTCTTCTCTTTTGAAATTCTGAGAAGTTGGGAAGGAAATTTATGTTAAAACCATTAAGATAATAAGTCCATATATAAGTAATTGGGAAATGTGAATCAGTGTAACAATGAGATACCATTTCACATATACTAGGATGCTATTATAATAAAAAAAAATAAAAAATAAAAAAAAAAGGAAAATAAGAGTTGGTGAACATGTAGAGAAATTGGAACCCTTATTTATTGTCAATGATAATGTAAAATGGTGTGCCCATGGAGGAAAACAGTTTGGCAGTTCCTCAAAAAGTTAAACATATAATTACCATATGACCCATCAATATTACTCTTAGGAATATACCCAAGAACTTGAAAGCAGGGAGTCAAACTGATACTTGTATGCCAATGTTAATTGTGATACTATTCACAAAAGCTGAAAAGGTGTAAATAATCTCAGAGTCCATCTATCAGACAGTGGATAAACACAATGTAGTATATTCATATAATGGAATATTATTCAGCCATGCAGAGACATGAAGTAATGCTACGTGGTACATTGTGAATGAACCTTGAAAACATTATGTTGAGTGAAATAAGTCAGATACAAAAGGACAAATATTGTATGACCCCACTTATATGAATTATCTAGAATAGGTAAATCCATGAAGAAAAACATTTTTAGTGGTTACCAGGAGATGGGGAAACTCTGGTGGAATAGTGTCTAAGGCATTTGACTACTAACCAGAAAGCTGGTGGTTCAAACCTACCAGCCACTCCTTGGAAGGAAGATTAGGCAATATGTTTCCATAGTGATACTGTTTCTGAAACCCAAGGAGGGGTCGCTATGAGTTGGATCTGACTCAACAGCAGTGAGTTTGTTTTTTTTTGGAGTTAGGAGATGGGGGAAGGGAGAGTTGAAAAAAATAAAATAAATACTATGTATTTTGAGAACTTCAAATTTTCTACCATTTTAAGTATTAAGTTGATATATAATATGCATTGAGCATCTAAGGAGGACATTTAAGTGAGAGGCAATAATTCTGGGAACTAGATATGAATATGTATGTTTCAAAGATGGGAAAATTCGGGCTCAGAAAACTTAAGTAATTCTACCAAGGCGTAGAATAAGTATTCAAATCCACACATAAAAACCTATTGCCATCAAGTAGGATCCGATTCATAATGACCCCTCTTTGGGTTTCCGAGGCAGTATCATGACGGAAGTAGATTGCCCAATCTTCCTTCCGAGGAGGGGCTGGTGGGTTTGAACTGCCAGCCTTCTAGTTAGCAGTCAATGGGTGCTCTGGTGGCATAGTGCCTAAGGCACTTACCTGCTAACCAGAAGGCTGGCGGTTCAAGCCCACCAGCCACTCCTTGGAAGGAAGGCTGGGCAATTTACTACCATGGTGATAATGCTTTGGAAGCCCAAGGAGGAGTCCTTATGATAAATCCATATATATCTGTCTAAAAAGCATTCACTGCCTCCTGGGATAAACACAGACTTCCCCAGAACACATACAACTATGTGAGTTTTTATTCAGTTATTTATTTATACTATTTTTTAAATACCATGATGTTATTTTATTCACTTTTAACTTAGGAACATAAACACACTGGTAAAGTGTCATATGATTTCATATGACAGAGTTTCCTCTAAATATTTGGAGAAGTATACAGCATATAGTAATAGATTTTTGTTGCAAATATGCCTATGGGAATCTAAAACTCATATTCACATTTTTTTATTTGAAAGTATCATTAGATATTCATCTAAAAACCAACTGATTATTACAGATACTCCTTTTTCAAGTTTTGTATTGAATATACATTTAAAGAAGCTTCTTTGATATTTCAGTGATCAATGAAATTGGAGAAGATTCTCAGTTCTTTAAGAAATAAATCTGCCTTTTTTAGTTTTCTTAATTTAAAATTTCCTATACTCCTCCTATTTGCCTACTAGCATTCTAGGTTGCTGAATGTAACAGAAAAAAGGTAGAAAACTAAAATTTACCTTTGTTCTTTGGCAGCTTAAGATGGATTGATTTCCTCTAGAAATTTCCCTTCAAAAGTACCCTGAATTATCTAATGCTTCCCTTTTGATGCATGAGTTAAACAGAATAATAAATCATAGCCTTTGTATCTTTTACCTATAGCATAAGGCACCTAGAATAATTATTATACCATCACAGGTAATGAATGTGAAGACACAAAATCACATGTTAAAAAGGCCATTATTTCATATATTCATTGTGTGTGATTACAAATTTTATTTACATTTTTATATACATTTTAGTAATAAATTTTACAGATTCTCCAGTTGCAGGCAACCAATAATATTTCATATACTAAATATTAAATGTGAAAATTATCTTTTAAAAAAATATTTAAAAAATAATTTTATTTGCACAACATTCTTAGGAATTAAACCAGGAATATATCTCAGATGATGAAATTGAGGTTGAGGCTTTTATTTATACTTTCTCAGAGTTGCCATTTACAAAGCATTACAGAATTAACATTGATACCAAAATTTTCTAAGGTTTTGAAATAATTTTGAGTAATGACAAATGCTCATTTATTGCTCTTCTAGTTATTTGAAATAACTGATAGAATTCTGTAAACTTCTTCTTACGAGTCCCAACTTTCTACTTGCAACATTTAAAACACTGAAAACTCACTAAATATCTATCTTAGAAATTCTATCAACAGGGTTCCTACCATGTACTTTATATAAAACTTAAAATGATTCTAAAATGTGGGCAAAAACAAATTCCTAAAAATCAAAGCACACAAGTGATAACAAATTTAAGGGAGAAATTATTACCTTTTCAAGCAAAAGAGCTATGTCTTATTACTGCAAACTAGTAGTTCACCTTAGCACTTCTCAAACTGGGCCATGAGTACTCCTGGAGTTATGCAGTAAAATGCTAAGACATAGGAATGGCTAGAGGATGAGAGTATCACATTTCTATGTAATGTAAATATTACTCTGAGGTTCACAGGAAAAGTTTTAAAATGAACATGGTGGCTATTAAAATCCTTGGTTTTTTAAAATGATTTTTTTTTTAAGATTTTTAAATGATTTTTTTTAAAAGATACATCTTAAACTGTGTGTGCGTGTGTGTGTGTGTGTGTGTGTGTTACATCGCCCAAAACTCCAAAACTACCTAGTGAAAGCTATTGCCTCTCCTCAACTGTTAGGAATACCTAAAATACCTAGGAAAAAGCTTGAGAAACACTATTACAGGTATTTACAGGACAGGATTGGAAAATTGGTTAAAATATAAAAATTCCTTTGTAGGCAATGTCTTCTAATACTTTCATACTTACATGGGATTTTGACCAGTAGATAAACACTTCAGCCACCATACGGAAGAGTTCCTCCGCTTCCGGGTTAGGCTCTTTTAGCCACTTTGCCCTGGACCATATGACATAAAAGAGATTCTTAGCTATACTTTCAAGGGAAAATAAATAAACTCTCTCCCGAAGTTAAATTTTAAACCAAGTAACTAAAGATGTCCACAGAGCTCATAATGGCTTCAGTGTATACTTGAAACATTAAAAAGAATTCAACATCATAGCTGTCAAAATATTAACTTTTATAATAAAAAAAAAAGCAGACTGCTTCAGAATGAGATTTCTGATTTTAATTTTAAGATGCTCAGTAATAATTAATTTCTCTATAAGCATTTAGTTATGTTATAATCATGAGGACACTGGTGGCCCAATGGTGGAATTCTTGGCTTCGAGTCGGGGCCGACTCGATGGCACATAACAACAACAACAACAACAAGCAGAAGACATGGGTTCAATTCCTGGTCAATGTACTTCATTTGCAGCAGCCACCTATCTATCGGTGGAAGCTTGCAATGTTGCTATGATGCTGAATGGGTTTTAGCAGAGCTCTAGACTAAGACAGACTAGGAAGAATGGGCTGGTGGTCTACTTCCCTGACTCATGGCAACCCCAAAGCACAAGAGGATCAGTCTATGGTGATTCAAAGGGTTTTTGCTGACTGACTCCATGGCAGCAACAACAACATGAGTTAATCATGACCAAGATCATAACTAAGTATTTTAAAAAGAAACCATTCAAGAATCAAGTTTTATTTATCTTTATATCACATCCTCCACCACTCATCTGTCACTTGATGATTGAATTAGGGATATTAATCACTTTTTGAACATCCTACCTGTTGTAGTCCACAAATCTAATCAGGAGGGGGTAGAAGGCATAGAGATCTCTGGCCAGAGTAGTGAACTCATCTAGAATGAGGAGCTCAGCCTCGGACATATCGCCTCGGGCCTCTGCTTTCAGATGATCTTCCTCAGATACCACCATTGCTGCCTTTTTCTTGAGTTTCTCCATTAATGGCAAGAAGTGAGTTTTCAAGAGCTGAGGTTTCACTTTATTTATAATGGGCTGGGAAAACACTGTTTGAAGAGAGATACCAATATTCTGCTCCATTTAAACAGTCATTAATTAAGGTGCGGGTAGATAGTAATTATAATTGTACCACAATTAAAGCCTCCCTTTCCTCTAGGGGGAGCTCTGGTGGTGTAGTGCTCAAGGCATTTGACTACTAACCAGAAGGCTGGTAGTTCAAACCCACCAGTCACTGCTCAGAAGGAAGGTTGGGGACTATACTTCTGTAGTGATACTGACTCAGAAACCCCAAAGAGGGGTCGTTATGGGTCGGATGCAACTTGACAGCAATGAGTTTGGTTTTTTGATTTTCCTCTAGATCACAGCTTTTTTAAGGGTAGAGCTCATGCCTTAGTTATTGGTCTGTCGATGGCACATAACAACAACAAAACCTAATTGCAGAGTTGCTATCCAAAATATGAATACTGAATTGAATTCAATGCACTTCTGTTTTTAAAAAGGGTTGAAAATTAATTACTTCCACACTCGACGGCACATAACAACAACAACAACAACAAAGAGAAATAATGAATTTCCAAAATGGAAAAGAATCCCTTAGTCCTTTATTTAGAAGGCATACACAGACCACTGAATAATTATATAAGGACCTACACACAGTTGGAGAATGTAAACATCATCTTAACCTTTCCCTACCCTTGGCTCAATAGGAGAGCAAGATTATACATAACACAGTAGTTTTATAGAATAATGGTAGTAGTTATTAAGTAATAGTTCTAAACTTGATTAGGCCATTTTTGAAAGGTCTTTCCCCTAAAAGTAACATAGATCCATTGTAGAAATACAAAAAAGTGAAAAATTAAAATCCACTATAATTGTCTTACCTTATTAATAAGACGATCTAGTGTACTTCTTTGCAGCTTTTATCAATAGGTAAATTCATAAACATATATATTTTACACATATCATTCCTTATTCAGTTTTAAAAACTGCTTTTAACACTACTTGATATTTTCCAATTCATAAAACATTTTTGAAACTGCCATGTTTAAAGATGGCAAAATATTCTGGTACATGGATCTACACACTGATTTAACCACTGGAAGTTGCTGAGTACTTAGATTGCTTCTAATTTTTCAATATAAATAGTGCAGTTATAGATACATTTAAATATAAATATTACACTGCATCTTTAGATTTTTTCTCCTTTAGAACAGACTGCTAAAAATGAGTTGTTTAAAATTCCAGTTTTACTTTTGTCTCTAATGAAATTATTTATTGATTTGTTAATCTTATAGAGATAAATCTGGAAAAGTTTACTTACATAAAGAGATTAGTTATCTAATGTCTGATTATATCTACATTTTTCAAAGAAGCAAGACAAAAAAAATCAATACTATTTTATGAACACAGAAGAAAATACGAATAAAGACTATGGTAGGAAAATTCTAGTCTCTTGCATATCAAATATTTTTGGAAATAATAAAGTGTTACATGACTTTCTAATTCTCACCTGCTAATCTCTTCATCCAGGCCCCTTCATCAATGCCCAAGTTATTGTATATAATTTTCAATATGTTCCCAAGAAGTGTGTTCATGTGCTCTGAGTTCAGAGCTGTGCAACACATTTCAGCCCTCTCCATATTGTTCTCAGGTCCGTGCTCCCACCAACGAGACATGTAGCTGCAAAGCATGGGCAGTATAACTTCCATAACATGTGGCATTTGTGTATAGCGAATGCCAGACTCGGCTAATTCCACAATCTCTTCCATAAGTTTCTCCAAGGAGGGTATATTGGGACAAACATCTTCCACATTAGTTGGTAAATTGAGAGCTGGAGAAATACACAAAAAAATGAATTATGTTCAGTGAACAAATTGATACAATATGGCAGATTTCCACTGTTTGTAACATACTCAAGCAATAATTAATTTTTGAACTTCAAAACTCAGTGATACCTGGGAGGTCTTCAGTTGGCTCCTTCTCCTTCATTTTTCATGTCAGCTATTTCAAATCTCTACACTTTTCCTCAAGTTCCTACCCCACCACCACTATAACAAAGGTGGACATCAATGTCACTTTGTTCAACATCCTGCTTTCATGCCTATAAACTTTCTGTCTAATTCCAGTTTCACCTTTGTTCCTCATTTTCACAGAAAGCAGTTCTGATATACGTATTCATGTTGTCACCTATGTTCCCAATGCCAGGTCTTGCTCATGTCAGGAGCCGTATTTGGCTCTGCATTGTCAGCCTTTTCTTTTCTAAAGCTCTTCTCAGCAGCTTATCCATCACCATCAGTTGCCATTGAAGTGATTTTGACCCATGGTGACACCTTATGTGTCAGAATAGAACTGCGCTCCATAGGGTTTTCAGTGGCTGATTTTCCAGAAGCAGACTTTCACAAGACAAACCTCCAAGTTTTGGTCAGCTGAGGGAGCATAAACTATGCTACCCAGGAACTCCCTCAGCACTCATACACTGCTAAAATCTCTCCTAAATTTTTTTTCTTCCAGGCACCCTTTAATCCACAGTCATGTAGGCTTCTGCTTTCCCTCCACTCAATTTATTATTTCACACTCTTTATCTGATTTGGCTGCTCAGGGCATTTTACATCACTGACCAACTTCCCATTTTCTAAATGTCCCTCTTCCATAAGCTCTAGGAACATTCTGTTTCTTGGATTTCCTCTGAATTTTGTCTGTCTCCTTTCTTGACTTTTTTCTTCTTGGTGAACTTTTAAATATTGATCTTCTCCAGGATCTATATTTAACTCTTGTCTCTTTTTTTGGTCTATATGTATGTCTAGGCAAGTCCTAGATATGGGAGCTCTGGTGGTATAGTGCCTAAGGCATTGACAGTTAACCAGAAGGCTGGCAGTTAAACTCACCAGGAAGGGTGGCAGTTCAAACTCACCAGCCACTCCTCAGAAGGAAGACTGGGCGATCTACTTCCGTAGTGATACTGCCTCAGAAACCCAAGGAGGGGTCACTATGAGTCGGATCCGACTTGACTGCAATGAGCTTGGTTTGGTTTTTAGGCAAGTTAAATGTATGCTATAACTCTCTAAAAGTATGCTTATTAAAATGTTGTGGTCTAATACTGGATGTCTCAAAAGAAGCTAATAAACAATATATCTAAATTTGAAATTTATCTTTCCTTTTAGCGTACTTCTTGAGCATGCACTAAGTTGGAGAGGATAACACTATCTACTTGGTCACCCAAGCTAGAAACCTGGAAGAAATTCTAGGTTGTGATGCTCCCTCCCCTCCCACATGAGATGATTTTACCTCTGTTATCTCTCTTAATGACTTTTCCACATGCTCTATTCAATAAGCCTTGGTTCAATCATCTTTTTTTCTGAATTAAGACAGTATTTTTTTTTTTTTATAATTGGTGCCTCACACCCGTTCATGTCCTTATTGCTGTCACGTCGCTTTTCTTAAAATGTTCAAATCCAATTATAGATCCCTGTTTGCCAGTAGGGAAATCCTCACTCCCTACCTGCTCTTTTGCTCTCTCTTCCTGTCTCATCTTTCAACATTTTCTCCTCTGCAGGCTATATCCAGCCACTATGTCAAAGTGTTTGCAGTTTCTCCTAATGTACCAGAGTTTTAGTCTTCTCAGCTCTGGGGGCGTAGTGCCTAAGGCATTTGACTGCTAAGCAGAAGGCTGGCAGTTCAAACCCACCAGCCACTCCTTGGAAGGAAGGTTGGGCAATCTACTTCTGTGGTGATACCACCTTGGAAACCCAAGGAAGGGTCACTAAGAGTTGAAATCGACTCAATGGCAGTGAGAATTTCAAGACAAGAATTCCTGAGTGCTGTAAAAAGTTAATGCACTTTGCTGCTAACTAAAGGGCTGGAAGTTTGAGTCCACCCAGAGGTGCCTCAGAAGAAAGTCTTCTGAAAAATCAGCCATTGAAAACCCTATAGAGCACAGTTCTATTCTGACACATGTGCAGTCCCCATGCATAGAAGTTAAGTCAATGGCAAACTGGCTCATTTCAAGACTTGAACAAACTCTGGGAAGCTTCTCCAGGTCTCCCAGCTAAAATTGCTTTCTGTTTGTTTGTTGTAGGTCTTTTTTTTCCTATTAAATTCTATTAAATGTATCGATCGATCTCTTTCTCTCAACCGCAACTGAAAATTCCCTGAGGAAAAAAATCAAGTTTTATTTATCTTTGAATCATATCTTCTACCATTTGTCTGTCAGTTTGTCATACTTTGGTGGCTTGTGTATTGCTGTGAGGATAGAAGCTATGCTATCAGTATTTCAAATACCAGCAAGGCCACCCTGGTGGACAGGTTTCAGTGGAGCTTCAACTAAGACATATTAGGAAGAAAGACATAGCTAGGTTCACTTCTGGGGAAAAATAAATAAATAAATAAAAGAATGCCAAAGCAAACCTTATTGATAGCAGAGAAACATTCTCTAACATAGTACTGGAAGATAAGCCCCTCAAGTTGGGAGCCACTCAAAATGCAACTGGGGAACAGCTGCCTTCTCAAAGTACAGTCTGCCTGAATGACACAGATGGAGTAAAGCTTTCTGAAACTTCATTTGCTGATGTGGCATGACTCAAAATGAGAAGTATCAGCTGCAAACATCTATTAATAATTAGAATGTGGAATGTTCTGACTATGAATGTAGGAAAATTTAAAGTAGTCAAATATGAAATGAAATGCATAAAGATCAATATCCTAGACATTGGTAAGCTGAAATGGACTGTTATTGGCCATTTTGAATCAAACAATCATATGGTCTATTATTCTGGCAATGACAAATTAAAGAGAAATGACATCACATTCATTATCAAAAAGCATATTTCAAGATCTCTCCTGAAGTATAATGCTGCTAGTGACAGGGTAATATCTATACTCCTACAAGGAAGACACATTAATATAACTATTATTCAAATTTACGTGCCAACCACTAAAGCCAAAGATGAAAAAATTGAAGGTTTTTGCCAATTACTCCTGTCTCAAATTGACCAAACATGCAACCCAAACATACACCCAAAATATATTGACAATAACTGTTGATTAGAATGTGAAAGTTGGAAGCAAGACAGAAGCATCAGTAATTGGAAAACATGGCCTTGGAGATAGAAGTGATGCTGGAGATTGCATAACAGAATTTTGCATGACCAAGGACTTATTCATTGCAAATACCTTTCTTCAACAACATAATTGACAGCTGTACATGTGGACCTCACCAGATGGAATATACAGGAATCAAATAGACTACATGTGTGGAAAGAGGCAAAGGAGAAGCTCAGTATTATAAATTAGAACAAGGTCAAAGGCTAACTGTGGATCAGACCATCAATGATTACTATGCAAATTTAAGTTGAAGTTGAAGAGAATTAAAACTTGGATTTAGAGATCATCTGAAGAATAGATTCGATGCATTGAATGCCAGTGAATGAAGACCTGACAAGTTGTGGGATGGCATCAAGAACATCATGCACAAAGAAAGCAAAGGTCATTAAAGAGACAGGAAAGGAAGAAAAGGCCAGAATGGATGTCAAAAGAGACTCTGATACTTGCTCTTGAAAGGAGAGTAGGAAGAGTAAATGGAAAAAAAAAATGATGAAAGAAAAGGTCTGAGCAGAAGATTTCAAAGGACAGCTCAAGAGGACAAAGTAAAGTATTATCATGAAATATGCAAAGACCTGGAGATGGAAAATCAAAGGGGGAGAACACATTTGATGTTTCTGAAGCTGAAAGAACTGAAGAAAAAATTAAAGCCTCCAGCTGCAATATTAAAGGACTCTAATGGGAAGATATTAAACAATGCAGGAAGCATCAAAAGAATATGGAAGGAATAGACAAAGTCTAATTAGTTGATGCTCAGCTATTTCAGGAGGGAGCATATAATCAAGAAACCAATGTAACTGAAGGAAGAAGTCTCAGCTGCACTGAATTGGTGAAAAACAAAGCTTCAGAAACTGATGGTATAACCATTGACATATTTTAAAAAATGGATGAAGTGCTAATGGGGCTCACTTGTTTGTGCCAAGAAATTTAGAACATAGCTACCAGGTCAACCAACTGGAAGAGAGCCATACTTGTGCTCATTCCGAAGAAAGGTGATCCAATAGAATTTGGTAATTATTGAACCATATCATTAATATCACATGTAAGTAAAATTATGCTGAAGATAATTCAAAAATTGTTTCAGAAGTACATTGAAAGATAATTGTCAGGAATGCAAACTTGGTTCAGAAGGGGATGTGGAATGAGGGGTATCATTGCTAATGACTGATGGATCTTGGCTGAAAGCAAGGAATACAAGAAAGATGCTTACTTGTGTTTTACTGATTATGCAAAGGCATCTGACTGTGTGGAGCATAACAAATTATGGATAACATGGTGAAGAACAGGAATTATAGAACCTTTAATTGTTCACGAGGAATCTTTAGATAGATCCATAGGCAGCTGTTCTAACAAAACAAGGGGATACTGCATGGTTTAAAATCAGGAAAGGTGTGCATCAGGGTTGTATCCTTTCACCATACTTATTCAATCTGTATGCTGAGCAAATAATCAGAGAAGGTAGACTACATGAAGAAGAACATGGCATCAAATTGGAGAAAGACTCATGAACAACCTGCAATATTCAGATGACACAATCTTGTTTGCTGAAAATGAAGACAACCTGAAGCACTTACCAATGAAGATCAAGGACTACAGCCTTCAGTATAGATTACACTTCAATATCAAGAAAACAAAAATCTTTACAACTGGACCAATAAGTAACATCTTGCTATATGGAGAAAAGATTGAAGTTTTCAATAATTTCATTTTCTTGGATTAATAATCAACATCCAT